TCTCCAAGGCTGTCAGTCTTCACAGAAGCAAAGCCCAAACCACACCCACTGGAAGCAAAGCCCAAACCAAAGTCACTGCCATTGACTTGACTTGACTCCTAGCGACCCCTCCTTGGGTTTCGGAGGCAGTATCACTACAGAAGTAGATTGCCCAACCTTCCTTCCCAGGAGTGGCTGGTGGGTTTGAAGCGCCAGCCTTCTGGTTAGCAGTCAAGTGCCTTAAGCACTATGCCACCAGCCGGTGGACAGTAAAACTGGATCCCAGAGCCCTGAGGAAGCTCCGAGGTGGAGTCTGAAACCAGGGCTTTAGGAGTGGGGCTTGGGCTTAGGAAATGGGTCAGGGCTGGAGGTGGCAGAGCCTGAGATGGCCTTGGGCAAGGCCAGGGTCACCTGGGAGAATTGATTATATAATGAGCCCTGATTTTGAAAGAAGGAGCCCTGTGACGCAATGGTTAAGTGCTCAGTCGCTGAGCAGAAAAGGTCGGTAGTTAGGACCACCAGCCCCGCAGCAGCAGAAAAGACCTGCCGATCGCTTACCATAAAGATTGCAGCCTAGGAAACCCTATGGGGCAGTGACATGGGGCCACTGTGAGTGAAAATCTCCTAGAGGGCTCGCAACAACAACTTCAGAAGGAGCCTTCATGGCGCAATGGTTACGAACTTGGCTGGAAACCAATGGGTTGGTAGTTCTAACCCTCCCAGTGGCTCCTTGGGAGAAGTTGCTGATAACCTCCTCCGGAAAAGGTTAACCCAACCATTACCTTAGAGTTGATTAGACTCATAGCGACCCTGTGAGTCATAGGACAGAGTAGAACTGCCCCCAGAGGGGTTCCAAGCTGCAATCATTGCAAAAGCAGCTGGTGGTGGGTTTGACAAGCTGACCTTTCGGTTAGCAGCCGAATGCTGTAACCACTGCACCACCAGTGCTCCCACGTGCGGACTACAGCCTGGAAAACCCTTGGAGGCAGTTCCACTTTGTCACAGAGGGTCGGTGTGAGATGAAGGTTGACTGGAAGGCACACACTAATAGCTTTGGGAAGGAAGGTAGGGCTGGGCTCCAGGACCTGACTGGCGAGCCTTGGGTGGGGGTGGAGCCTGGACCAAAGGGGCGTGTCATAAGGGAAGGGCGTGGCTGGGAGGCACAGCCCCAGAAAGAGATCTGAGTGTAGTTAAAGCTTGACTTTGGGACTTGGGAGTGTGGCTGAGGAGAAGGGATGGAGTCAGACAGAGCTCTTGGGGCACAGAGACGGTTAGGGGGCCAAAACACAGAGCACCGTTCAGCTTGGGGGTTCGCCTGGGGACAGAGAGCAGGCTCTGAATTCCCAGCCACAAATGTACCTCTCTCATTCACGACCCTGATGCCCTACACAGACCCACAGCAGCCACTCAACTCGGTGCCCAGTCACCCTCCCCTCGCTGAGTCCATTCACTGATTCACTCTCACACACACACAAGCAAAGGAACACACCACCACCACAGATAAGCATGCGTTACAGAGTGCCTAAGGCACTTGACTGCTAACCAGAAGGCTGGCGGTTCAAACCCACCAGCCACTCCTCGGAAGGAAGGTTGGGCAATCTACTTCCGTAGTG